TTAGCTAGTAAAGGCCCGAGTGGGGACCCCATGGCCACTCCGTCGGTTTGTTCGTATAGGGCACCATTGAACTGGAACAACTGACCCTTGGTGGACACGTTCAACAGATCAGTAAGGTCTTCTTTGGAGATATTCAGATTGTACGTAGAGTTAAACCAGTTGTCCCTGAAGGCTTTCTCGGTCAGAATCGCAATTGTTTCGTCTAACGGTAAGTTGGTAAATAAAGATGACCCGTCATACGATACCAAGATAGAACCTTTGTTGATTTTCAGTTCTCGTACTTCATTTATGAAATCGAAGATGTCAGTAACGGTGTGTTGATTCAAAGACAGCGGTTTGAGCTTGTCATCAAGCCACTTGGTCAGTGCGTAGTTTTTGGTGCTCGTTGCTGATAGAGTGGGACGTAGGGCTTACTTCTCCTTATGGGTTTTTGATAGCCCATGTAGGTGTGCTAGTCTCGAGCCTGAAGGACTAACAGATTGAGCAATGTCCTTTGGAAGGATTCTGCGAACGGTAGATTGTAACATTTTTTCCCTAATCAACAGCGGGTGATAGTGTTTGGGCGGCCTACCTCTGGATTTTGGTCTATCTAGTGGGACAGAACGGAACTTGTTGGTGTCGTTAACAGACGCTTCAGATAGTAAACGTATGTACTTAGTCTTATCCGTGATGATAACACCGGACCCTTTATCGGGTTTGGTTATGACAATATCACTCCGTCGTTTTAACTGTTCGATTGCAGTCAGCAGCGTCTTGGGGGGTTGTTGGCTTTTACGCTGGATGTAGTTGAGGGCTACGGAAAGTAGGGTAGCGGCAGCAAGTTCTTTGGAGTTGTCATTGTTGAGGTGCCGTTCGAGTTGGTAACATGCTTTTTCGAAACTCGCCTTTACATCGATACTGAACACACGTTGGGGAATGGCGAACTTCAGGCCTCGACATTGAACCAGTTTCTGAAAAAAACTGAGTTCGTACGATGAGGTGTTTAAGATGTGTTCATTAACATTGACTTTCATGTTAAGAAGCCTCGAGATCTTTCGAGTGTGCACAGACATCACATCTTGATAGCACTTCTTTCTAAGGTTGACAATGATGCGGAGAATGCAGGTGTAACGAAGTAAACCACAATTTCGACGTATGTCATCGTAAATGGAATTGATCTCACATTTGAGAGCTTCACTCTGTTTGATCTTGGCTTTGAGCTTTTCGGCAAGGACATTTTTGCTGTAGGTCTCCGAGGACTCTTTCCACTTTGACTTTCTGTCCTTGTCAACTTGAGCGAACGTTGGAGTGAGATTGAAGATTTGGCAGAGTCTAAGAAACTCAATTGAACAATCACAGTTAATTTGTTTTGTGCAACACCGTTCGAGCCTTCTAAATAGGTGAAGCTGATCATCGCGTTTTAAAATTCTTAAAGGACTTATCTACATTAATTGGCTCTTGGCCCTTTGCAACACTTTGTGGAGGACTTTGGCCAGACTGCATAGATCAGTTTGCAACCTATGAAGGAAATTTTTGCAGATTCCCCCATTTTCAGAATGGTATCCAGTCAAGTCGCCGACGGTTCAAGTCGCCGACGGTTCAACTCGCCAACGCCAATTCGCCGACGTATAAAATCGAGTAGAGACGTTGGCGAAGTGGTCCTCAATCCAGCACAACTTATTAGAAGTTAAACATGTAGAAAAGTAAACGATCTTTATTAAAAAAAACATTCTTTTTCTTCCAACAAAGTTTATAAGGACCTCAACGCGAATAAAGCATGATAAACATCCCCAATTACTATAGCAGCTTCAGACGCGAACGAGTTAAGAGTGGTTATCATCATGTTGACATTTTTTCTCCTCGCCAGTGTTTTTTGGGGTTTTCCTGGTATTACAAGAGTAAGGTTAGATATTTCTGCTTCCGAGTCCTTCCCTTTGGCCTTTCTTCAGCTCCTTATATCTTTACTAAGACATTTAGACCTCTCGTTTCCCACTGGAGGCGAAAGGGCATCCATATGGTTGTGTATCTTGACGACGGGTTAGGGGAGGCTTCTTCATATCAGGCTGCCTCGGTTAGTAGCGAGTTGGCTTTGTTCCCAGTTCGGAGAAATCTCTTTGAGTCCCCCCTCCATGTCATTGATTCGTTGGGGTTTACTATTGATCTGTCTCAGGGCTTACTTTTCGTCCGAGGGAAGAAAATCAAGTGGGCTGTGTACGACATTGTCTCGATTTTGGAAACTGGTCATTCCACCGCTAGAGAGCTTTCGGCTGTTGCCGGTAGAATAAATTCTTTCAACCTGGCGGTGGGAAATGTCACCAACCTTATTACTAAATTCCTCAATATGGCTATTGCTCTTCGATCGGGTTGGAATGTCAAATTTCCTTTGCCCCCCTCCGTTAGAGAGGAACTCACTTTATGGAAAGACAATATTAGGTTTATTAACGGTAGGCCTATCGGACAGCGCTTTTCTGCTGCTCGCACTATTGTTTATTCCGACGCGAGTGATTTAGACGCTGGGGG